TGTGGGCGATGCAGAAGAAAAGTTACACGCTTTAAATAATGAGTTGGGAAGAATATGTATTACATGAGAGTTACAGTGAATGTGAGGAAGAGTAAAGTGATGAAAATAGAGGTAGAGAGAACATGAAAAGAAATATTAATTTGAATGGAGATATTATGGAAGGATTTATTTGTTTAGGTATCAGGGAACTGTTGCTCAGTAAATGGAGCTTTGATTGATAATAACATTGTATAAATCAGAGGATAGGGAGAGAGGAAGACCAAGAAAGAGATAAATGGTAAAAGGATGGGGTGAAAGACGCACTACAAGTAATGGACACCCAGGAAGCAGCGGTGTTCGTGAATGAGTGGACAGCATCATGGTGTCCAGTGATTGTTTGGGGGAAAGACGTGTTGCTGATTGCCGATGCTGACGTGTGTGTGTGTGTGTGAGAGAGAGAGAGAGAGAGAGAGAGAGAGAGAGAGAGAGAGAGAGAGAGAGAGCCTAAACCCATTGGCCCTTCTTAGATAGAGAGGGAGACGGGGAGGGGGGGTCTCAACCCACTGGCCTCAGCATTACCCTGAGAAACTGAGTCATTACCACTGGGAACTTTCGTATCACCCCAATAGATAAAACCGCTACATCCCTCACCTTCTTCTCTCAACAACCCCCCCTCGTCTCCCTCCATCATCTCCCTTTTTCAACACCTCCCACTCCCTCACCTCCTTCGCCCTCTATCTCTTACCTCCCTCATCTTCCTCACCCTCCCACACCAACAAATGGGCTACAATCTCTCACAGGTTCTCACTGGAGATGTGAGAACCTATCTTAACTGCCTCTCTCCTAAGCCTCGACACAGAGAAGAGACCTTAAAATGGCGTCAGATGTACACAGTGCCTCTGAGTCACCAGATAACCTTCTTTTAACCCCGTAATTACGAAAAAATAAGATGATAGCTCTTTGAAATTACAACACAAAGATAATAACTTAAGAGGGGTTGAAATTACGAACAAGTAGAATGCATACATACATACATACATGCACACATACATATTTAGTAAAACAGTCATACGGGATTACAGGTATACAATTATACATAGATAGTTGATTTATAATAACTCACATCTTTGAGAATTCTGAGAGAACACCCCTTAAGAACACCCTGTGTAAGAGAGACAGAGAGAACACCCCTTAAGAACACCTTGAAAGACAGAGAGAACACTCCTTAAGAACACCCTATAAGAGAGACAGAGAGAACATCCTGTAAGAAAGACAGAGAAAACACTCTTTAAGAACATCCTGTAAGAGAGACAGAGAGAACACCCTTTAAGAACATCATTGTAAGAGAGACAGAGAGAACACCCTTTAAGAACATCCTGAAAGACAGAGAGATCACCCTTTAAGAACATCATTGTGCAGAACACTGCCGTTCATGCCATCGTGGAGTTGACTCAAAATGGCGATGAACTTTGGTGGGCAACCAAAACGGCTGAGGGTCCGCCAGAGAGCTTCCCTGTTGACCGAGTCGAAGGCAATATACAGGTCACGACGCTGTTCTCTACGCTTTTCCAATATCTGACGGGCAGTAAAAATCATGTCAGTGGTGCCACGTGATGGTCTGAAGCCTCATTGAAATTCTGGAAGGAAGTTTTCCGCCTCAGGAAGAAGTCTGTTTAGGAGGACTCGAGCGATATTCTTGCCAGCTAGGGAGAGCAGCGAGATCCCGCAGTAGTTGCCACAGCCTGACTGGTCTTCTCTGTTCTTATGAATATTGACAATGGAGGCATCTTTAAGAGCTTGAGGGATTTCCTCCTTTTCCCATATATTGTCCAGGAGAGAGTGGAGACGGCTGGTAAGCAGAGGTCCTCCTGCTTTATACACCTCGGCTGAGATTCTATCAGGCCCTGAGGTTTTGTTATTTTCCACCTGTTTAATGACAGTAGCTACCTCTTCTAGGGATGGGGTATAGCTGAGGTGGGTCAGCCATAGATGCTGGAGGACCTGCTGGGTAGTCAGGACATCCACATTGGTGTTTCAGTTAAGCAATGAATGGCAGTGCTCTTTTCAGCGTTGAAGGAGGCCTTCGTCTTCTTTAATTATGTAGTTACCGTCAGATGAGCGAAAGGGGGCTATGCCACGAGTGACTGGCCCATAAAATGTTTTAGTGGAGATGACAAATTCGCGCATCTTGTGCTGATCTGTAAGTTTTTTGTTTCACATACTTTATTTTTAAGCCAGTCGTTCTTTAGATTGCAAAGTTCCTGACGGGCTGGCGCTTTCTTCTTGCTGATGGTATAAACTTTGGTGAGAGACTAAGGGTTGTTCTGCCAGTCTGTAAAAGCAGCACGTTTATCATTGATGAGTACTTTGATTGCCTGGTAATTTTCATCAAACCAGTCCTGGTGTATTCGTTTGATCTGGCCGAGGGTCTCTCTGCAAGTTTTTGTCATAACAGTGTTTAGAGTATCCCATTCAGCACTGGGATTCACGTTGTTTGCTGTTATGGTTGTTTATAAGCCCATGTTCGAGCTGCTCTCTGAAAGCATGTGGTGCCTTTGGATCCTCCAGATGCTTCGTATTAAAACCTCTTCTTGAGGCTTGTTGCCTTCGCCTTTTTGGGGCGACGTGAAGTGAGAGCTTGGATCTGACCAGTCGATGATCGGTGTCACAGTGGTCTGAGGCACGCATGGCACAATGATGTAGCCAATGAGATGCCAGTGTTTGGGTCGTGGGTTTTGCCACGAACCCTTGAACTTGTCGGCCTGCCTAAACAAGGTATTGGTGATAGTGAGGTTGTGAGTAGCACACTTGTTGAGGAGGAGAAGGCCATTGGAATTACACTTGCCTAGTCCATTTCTACCTATGGTTCCCTGCCAAATGTTAACATCTCTGCCAACTCTGGCATTGAAGTCACCAAGGAGCACAACCTTGTCTTTTCTGGGAATAGAGGTTAACAATCTATCGAGGTCGGTGTATATGGCCTCCTTGATGTCATCCTCTGCATCCAGTATTGGGGCGTATGCACTGATGAAGAAAGCATGATGTGAGTGGTTCTGTGGGACTCGAAGCGTCATGAGGCGCTCGTTGATCCCAATAGGCATTTTAGTTAGCCTGTGTAGGATGCGTTGGCGGATGGCAAAGCCAACTTCATAAATGCGGTTTCTCTCTGCTGCAGGCTTACCCTTCCAGAAAAAGGTGAAGCCAGTCTCCAGTTCTGTGAGCTGGCCCACATCTGGGAGCTGGGAGTCACTGATGGCTGCTATGTCGATGTTATACCTAGCCAGCCCTTTTGCCACAAGCTCGGTTCTTCTTTCAGGACGTGCATTTGTGCCAGTATCCAGAAGGGTCCTGACATTCCATGCAGCGACCAGAAGAGGCTGTATGGTTTGTTTTTGTTTGGATCTGTGATTTTTATTGTGTTTTCGACCTCTTAAGTATGACCTTACTGGGTGCAGTTGCCGAGTCAATTTGGGTTTTTAGGCAGGCTATGTTTAAGGCACCTTTTCTAGCCCCTTCCCCATGTAGGGTGAGCGGAGTGGCTCCTCGGAAGGGCTGCTCAGTCGCACAGACAGGACCGGATTGCATTTCTGCATAGATCCCAGTGCTGAAACTACCATCTTATCTATGCCGCCCCTGTGCAGAGCTGTGACTAGAGACTTCCGGCAGTCATCTCTGCCTGTCCCGTCGCCACTTGTTTGTCGCCATAGGACTTTTGGGGGCTATAAGGGGTTTTTGATGATAATGAGAGGTATGAGGAGCTGGGTGATGGCTGTGCGTGAATTGATTTATGTGGTGAGGCAGGAGCGCAGGCTGCAACCACATATCTTGGCTCTCCCTTTTCCTGATCCAGTGGTGCAAGTGTTGCAACGACTGGTGAGAAGGAGAGTTGCAATGGGCTGCGATAGTCCAGTTTGTTTTGTTTCGCCTTAGTAGCCTGTCCATCAGGCATTGCCTTCGTCCGCCGGTGTAGTCGCTGGGTTTCCATGGATGTCATCTGCATGCCAGAGCACCGACTCCTCCGCCAGATACTCTTCTGGCAGCTGCCCGAGGCAAACCGCAATCCCTGAGGACAATGCAAAAGGTACTAAGACCAGCTCAGAATGACGCTCAAAAAATGTAACATTCCTCCAAAGGATCTTGAAACTATTGCATCCAACCGTAGTAATGGCGCTCCACCTGTACCCAAGGTGACAAACATCACGAGAACGAGCGTAATAGGGCCAGATGTACATGTAGGGAAAGGGAACACAATCGCACTCCCAGAGACCTCCTACCCAATCCAGAGCTGTCCTACCTAATGTATGATAGAATCTGCGGGTCAAGGATCGGACTCCACAGCAACATCCAGTGGCACCGCCGACAACATCCCTAGTTCACCACTCGGTATCATCATCGATTTCATAATGAAACAAAGTCGTCGTCGGCTACGACGGACAGCCTTAAGCAATAAGAATATGTGTGTGTGTGTGTGTGTGTGTGTGTGTGTATGTGTGTTTTGCAAGATGATTAATATTGAGCTTAATGGAGGGAATATGTGGAAATAACGATTTTAATGGGGAATGGGATATATGTGATTATGGGTGGAGAAAATATAAATGATAGGTGGATTTAGTGGCGATAATAGGGAGATATTCTATAGGGTGGCCCTAAAGATAAATTACGAGAGAAATGTATAGGGCTAACAATGGGTAATGGTGTTCTCTATGATAATGGGGAGCTAATCGGTGTATAATGGAATAACATAAATTTTTATTAACCTATTAGTTTACCCCTATTATATAATACTAATAACACTCTAATTTAACACCATTATCCTTCTGTATACTGTATTTTTTCTCCTCGTATGTGATCGCCACCTCCTGTTCTTCCTCCTTTTCCCCATTCTCCACTTCTTCCTCCAGTATACACCCTCTTCCTCCTCCTCCTCCTCCTCCACCTTCCCTTCCATCTTTACCTCCTCCTCCAGTACACAACATATCTCCAGTATATAACCTAACCTCCTCCTCCATCTCGTCCTCCAGGCTGGTGTTGTGGATTCCCAGGTGCTCCTTCACACTCCACCGTCACCTTCTCCGACAACAGACTCGACTCGAACACGGTGGCCACGTACGCCTGCGACCGTGGCTTCGAACTGCTAGGACCTGCCAGGAAGATCTGTGCTGAGAATGGCACTTGGACCCCAGCTGGCATCCCCTTCTGTGGTGAGTACGGTGCTTCCTTGTCTCCCACTCCTAGCAAGAGAGATGTTGTGTATCTCTCTCTTGATGTTTCTTCTGACTATCTCTCACTCCTAGCTAGAGATATGTTGCCTGATTATCTCTGACTCCTTGTTACACAGATGTTGCCTGATTATCTCTCACTCTTAGTTAGAGAGATATTGTCCGACTATCTCTCACTCCGAGCCGAATGTATCTCTCTCGCTTTCATATTGTTGAAGACTTGAGTATTTACTAGTTGCTTAGCATCGTCTTTCCTCTCGGAATAACCATGCATTCACAAGTTTTCGTCTTTAAGGTTGAAATTCCCGTAAAATCAAATAATTTCTCGCCTCAATCATACACGATTGTGGATAAGCGCTATCTTGATCCTGCACTATGACCGGCTGTTCATTTCCTGTGTTGTGGTATTTTGATGGAATATATGAAGGGGACTTTCGACTTCATGTATTTTAAGAAAGTGGGTTAGCACTGAATTGGCCTCGAGTGTGAGTGTAGGTAAAAGGGTCAGAAGACAACCCACTTCCTGTTCTTTTACCTCCACTTCCTCTTCTTTCTACTGCTCCTCTTGTTCTTCGTCCTCTTCCTCTCTTACCATCTCTTTCACATCAGCTTTGCCCTGACCACCTACCTACACGGCTCTCAACCAAACATAACCTAACCTAAACTAACCCAATATTTGACTTCATGTTACTACCAGAGAGAGAGAGAGGAGGGGGGAGGAGGGTAACTTGAAGGAGACCCACAAGACAGTAATTAACGGCGTCTCTCTGTATCTTGTGTCGTTTTCTGTATGTCTGTCTGTCTGTTTTTCTGTATTTCTGTCTTTCAGTCTGTCAGTTTGTCTGTCTGCTTACCTGTCTTTCTGTTCTTTTCTATCTTCACTATCTCTATCTACTTCCACGAATCTATTTAGTGAATGTTTTTTGTCTGTCTCTCTGACCTGTCTGTCTGTCTGTTCTTATCTTACCTTCACTATCTTTATCTATTTCCTCGAATCTATTTATTTAAATGTTCTCTCTCTCTCCCCTATTTATCGATTCCCTAATTAATTTTCTATTTTTTTGGTAAATAGGTTAGGTTAGGTTAGAAAAAGAAAAAGAAGAATCATAAGAAAATATAAGCAAAAGGAAAAGAAGAAAAAGACCGGTAGTATACGTCAGCTTCGTCTCCAGAGCAAAAACCAAAGACAATTTACCCCCAAATCAAGGTAAAACTCCCTCTTTAAGCAGGCCACGGCTCCAAGGTCCACCTTGACCTCCGAGGAGTAGTCTTGTGCCGTTGTCGCTTGAGGAGGAACTGGTTGTGATGTTACACTATTTTTTGTTGTGTGTGTGTGTGTGTGTGTGTGTGTGTGTGTGTGTGTGTGTGTGTGTGTGTGTGTGTGTTTGAACTGATCACATCACGCTATCAATACAGGTAACATAACATTGATTACAGATGTGCAGATGTACTCAAGTAACTAGTACAGTGTAGTGCCTTGTCTTGCAGTAAGGATAGCAGGCTCTTGCCCGAGGCACGCGCATTCCACCAAGATGTAAATTGGCACCCTTCTTTTTATTAAGGAACCTAAAGTGGTCCAGTGCAGTACCGGATACACTGGTCCTCACTCTGCTATATATCAATCAGCCCACGCGACACACCGTCTTAATGTAGGTCAAGCGCCTGCAAGCAAGCACAGAGATGCGCTGAATTATGGTTAGGTTAAGTTTTAAGTTAGAATAGGTTAGCGATAGGTCAGATTAGGTTTGTTTAGGTCAGGTTAGATATAGTCAAGGGTAGGTTACGCTACGTTAGGTATCGTTAAGTTTAGGTTTGGTTACAGCCCCCGTATAACCCTGAATTCATTAACACTTTAATATGTGTTAGTACCGTTGACACTGACGCCAGCTGTTGCCAGGTGAGGGTGGGAGGTGTGTTGCAGAGAACAAGTGTGTTAACCATCTCGGTAAACCTAATTACTTCCACTACCAAGTGTATTACACCTTAGTTTTTGTTATATTCTAACATAACCTAACCTAACCCTCCCATTAAGCGTTAAGGTGCTTAAACATCAGGTGAAATAAGCTGGAGGGGGGAGGAGCCTAAGTATCCTAAGATCCCACTATATACTAAGTCTTGGGAACACTAGGAGGCAGCCTGGTCGACACTGTACTCGACCACCTTCACTTCCTCAACTGTAAACTTACCTACCTATTTACACCTAGGTGGGCTGGGGGTGCCCCGGGATTGAACGAGCGACCTTTATGACAGAAGACGAGTGTTGTATCCGCTTGACCACCACACCTTTGATATTATTAGTGCTCTCTCTCTCTCTCTCTGTCAGATTCATTGTTAATAGCTATATTTGGTGTTTTCTTCTTCTCTGTACTGGTATTATTACTCTTCTTCCTCTTCCTCCTCTTCTTCTCTTCTTCCTCTTCATCCTCTTCTTCTCTTCTTCCTCTTCTTCCTACTCTTCCACTATACAGAACCAGGCCATCCCCAACTAACCAAATATAGCCAATATTGACGAAGTGAGTCAATGATTATTTAGGTTTCCCCCTCGAGGAAATAGTCAGTTCAATTATCTCCAATAGAGTGCTTGTGGAGTGACGCATTCTGGATGGTCGATATTCAGGTCATGTTTGTTAGAGGAAGTGTTTTTGATGATGTAATGAAAGATAGACAGATAGATAGATATACAGAGAGAGAGAGAGAGAGAGAGAGAGAGAGAGAGAGAGAGAGAGAGAGAGACGTCAGACTCACAGGATCAAGGTAACAGGCTAGACTTAACCCACACCGCGCCACAAACCGTAAAAAATCTCATAACGGTGAAAATAAGACGATTATTGGAGGTATTTTCACCAACATGTACTACTACTCTCTGTGGGGGTTAACGGGACGTGTTGGCTCTCGCTTCAAGGTCTTCAATTGTCAAGGTAATACTCGATTATATTACAATTTTCATGAGGTTACGATAATGAGAGGTAGTGTAAGAGAGGCAGCTCTCTCTCTCTCTCTCTCTTTCATTATGACATTGACAGCTATGGGGAGGTGTGAGGTATAATTAATGTGGATATTACCTTATAATTTTAAGATTTTTTTTTAGATGCATAACTCAGTTCCCCGCTAGAGCTCTCTCTCTTTCTAAATATATAAATATATATATATATATATATATATATATATATATATATATATATATATATATATATATATATATATATATATATATATATATATATATATATATATTCCTGTTTTCGTTCTTTCTGTCTCATCTTAGTAACCGAACGTTGGTGGGAACTTGACTACCTCTGACCTCTGGGACGCCTCCATTAGTTGCGGCTCTGTTAACTCAACGCTGTTTATGTTGTAATCTGAACACAGTTCCTACCTTCACACATATTTACTTATTCGGTTAGGTTCGGTTAGGTTATGTTAAGTTTGGTTAGGTTAGGCTAGGTTAGTTAAGAGGGAATATGTTTGTTAGGTAGGTGTTGATGGTGATTGTGTTGTTGATGGTACCTAATATTGACCTTACCCTATATACGGAACCTAATCCTCACCCCCTCCCTCCGTTACTCACCACTCGTGCATGGCCTACCCTCTTCCATACACACACCCCTTACACCCCTCCCCACCCCCTCTCTTCCTACTCTCGCCTTTCCCATCCGTCACGATCCGTTACGCCAGTTCGTCACAATGTCACGGGAGTTGACTTTGAAGGAGGGAGATAAGGTGTCTATATCACAGCTCAGTGCCACCCACGTCCTCCCTGTGTCACGTCACCCGCGTCACCCCGGTGCTACGCCTCCCATGTCACCCCTGCAACACGTCACCCTCGTCACCTCTGCGTCACGCCACACACGTCACCTCTGCGTCACACACACATACACACACACACACACACACACACACACACACATCCACCCACCAATATCCAACTACCAACCCATACCGACATAAACACATATTCACCCACCCACCCCTCAGGTGTCTTGCTTGAGCAGGTGAGAATTGTGGGTCACCCAAAGCAAGAAAGAGCCGGTCTGAGATTTCTACTGCCGGGGGCGTTGAAGTTCCTGGTGGTGGTGGTAGAGGTAGTAGTGGTGTTGATAGTATCGTTGGTGATGGTGGTGGTCGCTGTGGTGGTGGTAGTGGTAATAGTGGTGGTAGTGTTAGTGATGGTGATGATGGTGGTAATGTTGTTGGTGATGGTGATGATGGTTGGCAGGGTCAGCTCCAACAACCACGGCATACCTGACATTCTGGTTCACTTGCCCTGACCGCGTTACATACCTGTCATTGACGGTGACTCCACACAAACACACACACCCACACACACTAGTTAATGAGTTAACTTGACACCTGTACCTAAGTTACCTGCCTGTGTTAGGCATGTGGTTTAACTCATTGCCTGCTAATTGGCTGAGGTTAAATTAGGTTAGGCTTTAGTGAGGTTAAATTTACGTTAGAGAAAGGTAGTTATGTTAGGTTAGGATAGCGTTAGGGTAGGTTTGATTAAGTTAGGTTAGGTTAGCGTTAGATTAACGTTAGGTTAGGTTAGGTGAGGTTAATGTTCAGGTGAATTAAGGTGACCAAAAAGCCTTCACGTGATTGGTATTAGAACAATTAATGAACACCAACCCGTCATCCCAGTAACAGTGGAGAACGGCAAATTTAACGGAGAAAACATAAAAGGTTAACCGTAAATAAACAGGAAACTCATCATATATATTGCGGAAGTAAAGATTGTAACATAAACAGGAACTCACTGAAGAACATCTTGGTGTTAAGAAAACATGGCGCTGTGGAGAGGAACACCTGGTGAACGGTGGTTAATAACCCTGGCTACCTGCCAGTCTTAGATACATTATAATAATATAGTTCAATTTTTAATCTACTGCATACAGATAACAGAAAATGATAACAGTAATAATGACAACAACAACAACTATACTACTACTGCTACTTCTACTATTAATACTACTACTACAACT